CTCCTCAACCACACTACCACAACCTCCCCTCAACCACACTACCACAACCCTCCCCTTAACCACACTACCACAACCCTCCCCTCAACCACACTACCACAACCCACTCCTCAACCACAGTACCACAACCCACTCCTCAACCACACTACCACAACCTCCCCTCAACCACACCACCACAACCTCCCCTCAACCACACTACCACAACCCTCTCCACAACCACACTACCACAACCCTCTCCTCAACCACACTACCACAACCCTCTCCTCAACCACACTACCACAACCCTCTCCTCAACCACACTACCACAACCCACTCCTCAACCACACTACTACAACCCTCTCCTCAACCACACTACCACAACCCACTCCTCAACCACACTACCACAACCCACTCCTCAACCACACTACTACAACCCTCTCCTCAACCACACTACCACAACCCACTCCTCAACCACACTACTACAACCCTCTCCTCAACCACACTACCACAACCCTCTCCTCAACCACACTACCACAACCCTCTCCTCAACCACACTACCACAACCCACTCCTCAACCACACTACCACAACCCACTCCTCAACCACACTACCACAACCCTCTCCTCAACCACACTACCACAACCCACTCCTCAACCACACTACTACAACCCTCTCCTCAACCACACTACCACAACCTCCCCTCAACCACACTACCACAACCCTCTCCTCAACCACACTACCACAACCCTCTCCTCAACCACACTACCACAACCCTCTCCTCAACCACACTACCACAACCTCCCCTCAACCACACTACCACAACCCTCTCCTCAACCACACCACCACAACCTCCCCTCAACCACACTACCACAACCCTCTCCTCAACCACACTACCACAACCCTCTCCTCAACCACACTACCACAACCTCCCCTCAACCACACTACCACAACCCTCTCCTCAACCACACTACCACAACCCACTCCTCAACCACACTACTCCAACCCTCTCCTCAACCACACTACCACAACCTCCCCTCAACCACACTACCACAACCCTCTCCTCAACCACACTACCACAACCCTCTCCTCAACCACACTACCACAACCCTCTCCTCAACCACACTACCACAACCTTCTCCTCAACCACACTACCACAACCCTCTCCTCAACCACACCACCACAACCTCCCCTCAACCACACTACCACAACCCTCTCCTCAACCACACTACCACAACCCTCTCCTCAACCACACTACCACAACCTCCCCTCAACCACACTACCACAACCCTCCCCTCAACCACACTACCACAACCTCCCCTCAACCACACTACCACAACCCTCTCTTCAACCACACTACCACAACCCTCCCCTCAACCACACTACCACAACCTCCCCTCAACCACACTACCACAACCCTCTCCTCAACCACACTACCACAACCCTCTCCTCAACCACACTACCACAACCCTCCCCTCAACCACACTACCACAACCCTCTCCTCAACCACACTACCACAACCTCCCCTCAACCACACTACCACAACCTCCCCTCAACCACACTACCACAACCCTCCGCTCAACCACACCACCACAACCCTTCCCTCAATCACACTACCACAACCCTCCCCTCAACCACACCACCACAACCCTTCCCTCAATCACACTACCACAACCCTTCCCTCAATCACACTACCACAACCCTCCCCTCAACCACACTACCACAACCCTCCGCTCAACCACACCACCACAACCCTTCCCTCAATCACACTACCACAACCCTCCCCTCAATCACACTACCACAACCCTCCCCTCAACCACACTACCACAACCCTCCGCTCAACCACACTACCACAACCCTCCCCTCAATCACACTACCACAACCCTCCCCTCAATCACACTACCACAACACCCCTCAACCACACTACCACAACCCACTCATCAACCACACTACCACAACACCCCTCAACCACATCACCACAACCCTCTCCTCATGTTTAGTCAGTTATCCCCCCAATTTTAATTTCTAAACCATTTTCTATGACTCGGACAGCTAGCCACTCGTTGCCAGATGTTCAAGCGATCCTATTTTATTTCCTGGGTCTTGTTCAATACTTACTGTGCCTTGTTCAATGCTTCCTGTGTCTTGTTCAATACTTATTGTGTCTTGTTCAATACTTCCTGTGTCTTGTTCAATACTTCCAGTGCCTTGTTCAATACTTCCAGTGCCTTGTTCAATACTTCCAGTGTCTTGTTCAATACTTCCTGTGGCTTGTTCAATACTTCCAGTGTCTTGTTCAATACTTCCAGTGCCTTGTTCAATACTTCCAGTGTCTTGTTCAATACTTCCTGTGGCTTGTTCAATACTTCCTGTGGCTTGTTCAATACTTCCAGTGTCTTGTTCAATACTTCATGTGTCTTGTTCAATACTTCCTGTGTCTTGTTCAATACTTCCTGTGTCTTGTTCAATACTTCCAGTGTCTTGTTCAATACTTCCTGTGTCTTGTTCAATACTTCATGTGTCTAGTTCAATACTTTCTGTGTCTTGTTCAATACTTCATGTGCCTTGTTCAATACTTCCTGTGTCTTGTTCAATACTTCCTGTGTCTTGTTCAATACTTCATGTGTCTTGTTCAATACGTCCTGTGTCTTGTTCAATGCTTCCTGGGTCTTGTTCAATACTTCCTGTGTCTTGTTCAATACTTCCTGTGTCTTGTTCAATACTTCATGTGCCTTGTTCAATACTTCCTGTGTCTTGTTCAATACTTTCTGTGTCTTGTTCAATGCTTCCTGTGTCTTGTTCAATACTTCCAGTGTCTTGTTCAATACTTCCAGTGTCTTGTTCAATACGTCCTGTGTCTTGTTCAATACTTCCTGTGTCTTGTTCAATACTTCCAGTGTCTTGTTCAATGCTTCCAGTGTCTTGTTCAATACTTCCTGTGTCTTGTTCAATATTTCCTGTGTCTTGTTCAATAATTCCTGTGTCTTGTTCAATACTTTCTGTGTCTTGTTCAATACTTCCTGTGTCTTGTTCAATACTTTCTGTGTCTTGTTCAATACTTCCTGTGTCTTGTTCAATAATTCCTGTGTCTTGTTCAATAATTCCTGTGTCTTGTTCAATACTTTCTGTGTCTTGTTCAATAATTCCTGTGTCTTGTTCAATACTTTCTGTGTCTTGTTCAATACTTCCTGTGTCTTGTTCAATAATTCCTGTGTCTTGTTCAATACTTTGTGTCTTGTTCAATAATTCCTGTGTCTTGTTCAATACTTTCTGTGTCTTGTTCAATACTTCCTGTGTCTTGTTCAATAATTCCTGTGTCTTGTTCAATACTTTCTGTGTCTTGTTCAATACTTCCTGTGTCTTGTTCAATAATTCCTGTGTCTTGTTCAATACTTTCTGTGTCTTGTTCAATACTTCCTGTGTCTTGTTCAATAATTCCTGTGTCTTGTTCAATACTTTCTGTGTCTTGTTCAATACTTCCTGTGTCTTGTTCAATAATTCCTGTGTCTTGTTCAATAATTCCTGTGTCTTGTTCAATACTTTCTGTGTCTTGTTCAATACTTCCTGTGTCTTGTTCAATAATTCCTGTGTCTTGTTCAATACTTCCAGTGTCTTGTTCAATACTTCCTGTGTCTTGTTCAATAATTCCTGTGTCTTGTTCAATACTTTCTGTGTCTTGTTCAATACTTCCTGTGTCTTGTTCAATAATTCCTGTGTCTTGTTCAATACTTTCTGTGTCTTGTTCAATACTTCCTGTGTCTTGTTCAATAATTCCTGTGTCTTGTTCAATACTTCCTGTGTCTTGTTCAATACTTCCTGTGTCTTGTTCAATACTTCCTGTGTCTTGTTCAATACTTCCTGTGTCTTGTTCAATAATTCCTGTGTCTTGTTCAATAATTCCTGTGTCTTGTTCAATAATTCCTGTGTCTTGTTCAATAATTCCTGTGTCTTGTTCAGTAATTCCTGTGTCTTGTTCAATAATTCCTGTGTCTTGTTCAATACTTCCAGTGTCTTGATCAATACTTCCTGTGTCTTGTTCAATTACCTGGTTGATGGGGTTCTGGGAGTTCTTCTACTCCCCAAGCCCGGTCCGAGGCCAGGCTTGATTTGTGAGAGTTTGGTCCACCAGGCTGTTGCTTGGAGCGGCCCGCAGGCCCACATACCCACCACAGCCCGGTTGGTCCGGCACTCCTTGGAGGAATAAATCTAGTTTCCTCTTGAAGATGTCCACGGTTGTTCCGGCAATATTTCTTATGCTCGCTGGGAGGACGTTGAACAACCGCGGACCTCTGATGTTTATACAGTGTTCTCTGATTGTGCCTATGGCACCTCTGCTCTTCACTGGTTCTATTCTGCATTTTCTTCCATATCGTTCACTCCAGTACGTTGTTATTTTACTGTGTAGATTTGGCACTTGGCCCCTCCAGTATCTTCCAGGTGTATATTATTTGATATCTCTCTCGTCTTATTTCTAGTGAGTACATTTGGAGGGCTTTGAGACGATCCCAATAATTTAGGTGCTTTATCGCGTCTATGCGTGCCGTATATGTTCTCTGTATTCCCTCTATTTCAGCAATCTCTCCTGCTCTGAAGGGGGAAGTGAGTACTGAGCAGTACTCGAGACGGGACAACACAAGTGACTTGAAGAGTACAACCATTGAGATGGGATTCTTCCAGTGTCTTGTTCAATTCTTCCTGTGTCTTGTTCAATAATTCCTGTGTCTTGTTCAATAGTTCCTGTGTCTTGTTCAATAGTTCCTGTGTCTTGTTCAATAATTCCTGTGTCTTGTTCAATAATTCCTGTGTCTTGTTCAATACTTCCAGTCTTGTTCAATACTTCCTGTGCCTTGTTCAATGCTTCCTATGTCTTGTTCAATACTTCTGGTGACTTGTTCAATACTTCCAGTGTCTTGTTCAATACTTCCTGTTTCTTGTTCAATACTTCCAGTGTCTTGTTCAATACTTCCTGTGTCTTGTTCAATACTTCCTGTTTCTTGTTCAATACTTCCAGTGTCTTGTTCAATACTT